CAAAAATGCAATGTTTTGACGGCACCTATAAGAGTAAGAGTTACGTTTGAAGAGGATCAGACAGGCAAACAGACGAATAGAACTCGGCAGTTGACACAAGAATCAATTACTTTATGTCTACTGATGACGCGTTAACATGTTTTGATGGGGCGAAATAAATAAATCAAAAAATTAAAATATAGTTATTTGAATTTTGAAGAGATTAACCGTCGCAGATATTGCTTTGTTTGATTTTGAATCGCTTTCTTTCCTTTTCGAAGATCAAATGTAGACCATCAAATTAGTTGCGTAACCGTTTTAATGAATTTATTTATTTACAAGCAAATAAATATTTTTTTGCATTTTTAAATCGCAGCAGACACAAAAGTTGCAAAAATCAAATGTCACTAGCCCTTAGTTCGAAGTTCGACTCTGTCGTCTAATCGCTTGGCGAGACAAATAAACCACAATATGTGGCTAATGCTGGCGCCAGATGCCACCAAATGATGGGCTTTCACTTTTCGTGTCATTTGCAAAACGGTAGCGCCATCAGAGTCGGAGCCGGAGTCGGAGCCGCAGCCGTAGTCAGAGCTAAGTAAGGCCAGAGGCAGACCAATATGCGATAAGTAGTATTCACCTTTCACATGACTCCCCGCGCGCATACGAATGAGCTCATTAAGCGCGTCTGCTTCTGGGCGAATAGAATGAAAACGAATTCGAAACGAAAGCACAAATCAAAAATCCAAGAGTGAGTAGTGAGTATGTAGTTTGAATGTATTCTAAAGAGCACCCACAGCTGTCACAGCCGTAAGCAAAACAGGTGAGAGATGCGCCGTTGCAATTATAAACTCACGATTTGCTACTCGACGTGCGCTCAAAAATGAAATCAAGCGACAATTGTTTTGATTATGTGATGTGCCACGAATTGAATACGTAGCTCATTTCTGCTTTGCTATTTTCATTTGGAAATAATTTCACATTTAAAGCGATTAAATTTCGCTTGTGGCCTTGGTCAGCTGATGTGCCCCTCAAAGAGGCATGTTTGCCTTTGTCTTGCTACTTCAATTACACTTGAGTTTATTTTGATTTGATTTTTACTTTGTTGGCCCATGTCTCGTTGCTCGCTGATGAATGGTTTCCCATAACCTGCGTACACATCATTAGATAGTGTATACACTGTTGTTAGACAAGTTTTGTTTTGCTGCTGGAAAGTGATTTACAGCAAATTGAACATTGTAACCCATGGTGCGTATGATTAATTAAAATAATTGAATCAATACTGTGGCATTCAATTGCCAAACTATAACGAAGCTAAACTACTTAAGTAAGAAAAAAAACGTTTGTAGAATTAATTAATTTACGCGCACAAACATATGACAGGGAATGAATCAGACGTTGAGTTAATAATTTTAGCAGCAAGAAAGTCATAATGGGGCATCAACTTAATCATATTCATTTATAATCCCAACACTTGCTTACAAATCTAATGTACTTAGTTTCTATAAAAAAATATAAATTAATATCAAGAAAATGAAGTAGACGTAAAAATATAGCTAATTATGTCAAAGAAAAATATGTTATTAGTTCAAATAAGCTCCGAATTTGATTGTGATATCTTTTTGATTTCGAATGAGGGAATTGAGAATGTTCTATGTTTAAGTAGAAGTACTTTTGGCAAGCCAAGCTCAATCTACAATACTCAGACAGACCACAAGCAATAGACATCACTCCTCAGCATAATAATAATGATATTCAACAAATTGTTTACAGTAATGATCAATTATATGCCACTTAAGTTAGCAAAGCAAAGTTTCTCAAAGGTATTCGTAATTGTAAATTGCTCGCACAACATTTGTATGCATAAACTCTCGTAAGTTATTTGACATTTAACAGACGCTTCTGCCTTCTGACCAAGTCCAGCAGGTAAGATTCAATTGCAATCAACAATCAGTCATCAACTCATCAGTGTCATTCACAGTAGCCATTCATTTTGGCTAATAATACCACAAAACATAGAAATGTTATCATAATATACCTAGAGACAATAGACAAACCGAGCCAGCCAATCTTTCAGCGTAGCGTAAATATTTGCTAATTAAACATTTCTACTTGAGTTTCTATGTATACATATGCATATCTGTATATATATATATATTTTTTTTATATACATGGGCAATAATAATAAATTTGACATCATTGCGCGTAAAAGCATAAAATGAACAGGCAAGCCTTGTTATTTATAAATGTAAACGCCTGAGCATCAGCTGCCGTGTTGGGCAGCTGAAAAAGCGCAGCTTGGCTTGATGAGTTCTCAACATCTCAGCATTGAACCTACTGACACGGCTTAGCCGCAACGACCTAGTGATCAATTAATAGCAATAATATTAATATTATTAGCTAATGCTATTTGTACATATCGGCTGCTTCCCAATCCCAAGAGCTTTCAGCATTCGCTTAGCCGTTATCTATTTACCTTCAATTTACAATTCATTTGACAGAATGCCGACGATGACGACGCTTGCGCAGACGCGAACGTCGCCGGCTTTGACTCCGGCTTGGACTTGGACTTGGTAAATGAAGTTACCTGGCCTTGTCGCGCGCCAGTCTGTGCTTAACATTTGCCCGTCGCGCTTGGTAGTCGAACTACCCGCACAATCTTGATCGCGTCAGCCAAGCTGCGACACTCGGCTGTTATATTTATTTTTTTGGCAAAGCGTAAAGCGGCTTAAATTATAGAATCCAATTTGCTTTTAAATTAATAAGCGTGCAGCGTTTCTTTTTTAGCCAAAATGCCGCTGTACAAATTCAAAACGGTAATTGCCAAAACGGGACTCAATTTAACCAGTGCACAAACAACAATAAATTGCTCAAAAACCTGCGATTGCTCGTAAAGATACAGATACAAATGCTTTGACAAGGCCAGATACTATCTAAGATTAGATCCAATATTGAGTACAAATACTTAAATATAATAAATTAAAATGCCTAAAAACAAGTTTAAAATTATTAGTTGTATACAAATTGACTTTGCAGTCCCTTTTACAAGATCCATATTAAAACTTATTTCATTTGACAGTTCCATATTTTGTTACTGTTTAACAAGGATTTCCAAAGCACGTTGCAAACTGATCCTTTAATCCTTGAAATTTTTGATTTCGATTTTGTATTTTGTAGCTTGGTGTTTTGGAGCATAGCATATACGAGCTTCCATTTAGAATATTTTTCCTAAACACTTCTGTTTAATAAATCTTAAATAATATATAAGGAGTTTTCAAAGCTTGGGTGTTGCTTAAATCCTTGAGACTGATTAATTCACTTTGGTTTAATGTAGCCTCGACTAATACTCCTTCCACTTACAGCGCTTTTATGCAGCATTGCTGCTCTTCATCTGCTTCGGGTTGAATGGCCACACATCGGTGGCAGCTCCAGTTCCACGCTTTGACGATAATCTCGTTGCATACCCAAATGCGCCGAGTGAGGTGCTGCCCATTGAGCCGCTGTTAATCTATCCAGAGTCACGCGAGGTGATTTACCAGGCACGCACGCTGGCAGGCGATGGTGAGCGGGACATCATCTTCGTAAAGCTACTGCCGGACAAGTCGGAGGGCTATCGACCCAAGCAGCAGCGAATCGCGGAGAAGGAGCAGCGCCGCAAGGAGCTGGGCCTGAAAGACATCTTCTTTGTAAAGGCACGTGCCAACGGTCAATTCAGTCACGAGCGCTTAAAGGTCTATCGACTGCCCGAGTTTTATGCGATCAGCGTGTTCCGCAACGACGAGAAGTAGTCGGGCGACGGATAGCTCCAGCTGCTGCACCCACGATGCAGTCCACTATTATTATTTGTATGTTATATTATAAGCCGCTATAAATAAATGCCTCAAGAGTTGTTTAAGCGTTGCTGAAAAGCTCCTATCAGACACGCTTTGGCGCGACGATTTACATGTCATTTCAATTATCCACAACAAAGCAGCCGCCATTGTCGCTGAATGATGGGTGGCGGCATCAGCGCCACTTACCCAACAATGCCCCAACCAACTTCAACTTCAACTCCATGCGCTACGCGCCGGGTGCGCGTCAAGCGGCAATTAATAACTGTCAGTCAATTGGTTGGTACAACTAAAGCCAAGTCAAAGCTCCAGCCTCACAACAAAGAACTAATCCCTTTTGTCATTGGGCGACGCAGACCGCAGGCCAAACATTACGTCAAATTCATAGAAAGCAAAAATAGCCACAGCAAACAATGAATGGAAAGCTATTTTCAAGCCGCTATCTAAATACACTTTCTAAACTAGCTAGTTGATAGTGCACGCAAGTTTCGAAATATTGGGCACAATGTGAACATTAAAGTAAAACCGTTCTGAAAGCGGTAAGAAATTTAAGCAATTTGTGCTTTAAAGCGAATGAGCCGTCATCTTGGCGTTGACGAAATTTAAATACACTTCCTGACATATGAAAATTTACCATATAGTATTATGATTAAAGTCAAAGTCGTCAGCGGACTTCGATTAGTATAAAATTTTTGAATTAAAATAATGTGTTAATTCAATTATTATATTAAATATTATAAATGATTTTGATAAAAACTTTCGTTGTAAAATTTAACCCGATATAGATCACATCACAAAGAATTTCCCATTCTGATTAAGCTGTACAGACCCTTATAAAAGGAAATTAAAAAAAGTTTCAACCGATTCAAACTAAATACCAATAGTTCTAGTGCAGAGTTTAACAAGATTTTTTCAAACCTCTTAATGTGCTTAAAAACACAAGAAACACGGGTAATTTACCGGACTATTAAATCTATAATGCCTACACGGACAGACAACAGGATACATAGACAGACGGACAGATAAAAGGACAAACGGACAGACAAAAGGACAAATAGACAGACGGACAGACAATTTGGTTTCGCATATAAAATCAGAAATAAATATGAATATATATAAATTATAGGGTTTTGAAAAATATATCACTAAAATAAGGTTCTGGTCTCAAGATGTAAAAAATAAAAAAATATTGGCTTACGGAGTGTTGATATATAATACAATCCTATTTAGATCATCATAAATCATTGTCGTTGAGGCAATCCAATGAAAAAAGTCCATCAATGTGTTACAAGCGTTGTGCTGCACCAGAAATACCCGTTTGAGGAATCTGCGCCATACCGACAAATTATTCAAAATTTGTTCGGCTTGTTAACTCCTAATGCAGACTTTCGCTCAACTATTTGGGTGTTCCAGGCACGTTGCCATCTTTACAATTCAGCACACGCATTTGCTCCACTTGCGAGATGGACTTAGAAGACACTACCAATTTTGCTTGGTCTACATGACATGCTCGTACATGGCGGCGGTTGGATCGTCATAATTATGGAAATTTAATTTAATTACTAAACGAAGCACAAGCAGCTCCAAAATGATGTTTATAATATTAATAGATGGTGGCGCACGACTAGCTGACCATCAGTCGTGGTGCGATGTTCATGGACATGAGCTCCTGGAAGAGCAGTTTGGCCGCGTACGGCAGACGCACCTGCGAGATTTGCGTCTTGTTCTTGCAACCTTTGCACTCGAAAGTGTTGTTGCGCAAATTGGCAATAGCAATCAGCCCGCAGAAGTTGCAAATATGCACTCGATACGGATCAGACACTTCGAACAGTCGCTCGCGCAAGAACTGTGCGGCGCCGTGAGAAATTTGACAATCGCGCTCCATTTCACCGAAACGCAGACCGCCGTCACGGGCTCTGCCCTCCATGGGCTGTCGCACAAGAATCTGCACAGGACCACGGGCACGTGAATGGATTTTGTCGTCCACCATGTGCTTGAGACGTTGATAGTAGGTGGGACCAAGGAACACCTGCAACAGAATAGCAACATTAGATTAACTCAAGACTAACAACAAGGATTTGCGATCTGCGACTAACCTGCGCATTGATTTTGCGTCCCGTGTGGCCGTTGTACATGACCTCATTACCACGCAAATGATAGCCATACTCCTGCAGGAAAGTTGATATCTTTTGCACATTTACGGCATCGTTGAAGGGCGTGGCATCACCAATTTCGCCCTTATTGGAGCCCAGCTTGCCCTGCAGGCATTCGATCAAATGACCAATTGTCATACGCGAGGGAATAGCGTGCGGATTGATGATAATGTCTGGCGCCAAACCCTCACAGGTGAATGGCATGTCCTCTTGCCGATACTGTATGCCACATGTACCCTTCTGTCCGTGACGCGAGGCAAACTTGTCGCCAATCTGTGGTATGCGCACTGAACGCACGCGAATCTTGCAGAACTTATAGCCCTCGCTGTTCAGTGTCAACATAACCTGATCCACAATGCCCGTCTCCGAGTTACGCAAAAACGTGGAGGCATCACGCTTAGCGAATCGCTTTGTATTGCTGTCCAGCTCATCATCGTTTTCGGGCAGCGTTATTGTCTTGCCAATGACGACATCATCTCCAGAGACACGTATGCCAGGTGCAATGATGCCATCGTCGTCCAGTTTGTCATAGTGAGCGTTACGCATGCCCTGGCATGTGCCACGATGCGGTTTCTCAAAGTTCTCTTCCTGATCACCAACACGCTTATTCTCGGCATCCTTGTACGAACGATAGAACACCGAACGGAAGAATCCACGCTCGACTGCCGAGGCGTTCAGAATGACAGAATCCTCCTGGTTATAGCCAGTGTAGCACAAAATTGCCACAATTGAGTTAATACCCGCAGGCAGCTCACGGAAACGCAAGTACTCCATGGAGCGTGTTGTCACCAACGGCTTCATGGGATAATAGAGCACGTGCGCCAATGTGTCCATGCGCACATGGAAGTTGGTTATATAGACGCCCATGGCCTGCTTGCCTAGAAGGGAAAATGGTTAATAAATAGTTTACACAATGCGATTGCCTTCTGCTTACCCATAGCACTTTGATAGGTGTTACGTGGACTCTGGTTGTGATCGGGGAAGGGTATAATGGAGGCACAAACGCCCAGTATCATGGCCGGATGAATCTCACAGTGCGTATAGGTGGTACAATATGCGTAGTCCTTGTCCTGTTTGAGATCGTAGGGCGACATGGCAATCATGACCGTCTCCTCCTCGAGCGTGTCAATGTACTCAACGACACCAGAGGCAACCAGCACCTGCCAGCTGTAGTTGTTGTAGTCTCGCTCCTTCAACATCTCCACGTGCGTTTTCTTTAATAGCAGCGTGCCATTTTCCACAATAAGCAGAGGCCGACATATGCGGCCAGCGTCCGTGTAGATTCTGATCTCACGATCGCGAATGTCGCGAATCATGGACACCTCGGATACAATGATATCCATCTGGCGGCGCAATTTACGCAGCGTGGCCATCAGCTGCTCCGGATCTCGATGAATGCCCACCCAGCAGCCATTGACGAAGATTTTGGTCGCATCCGCAATCGCCGAGGGTGCAATTTCCTCTAGATTTTCCATTGACCACTCTTCCAAGAATTCCAGAATCGGCGACGGCTGTGAACCCACCGAAATGTAGGCCATGAGTGCCAAATTCTTGACCAAACCCACAGCTGCGCCCTCAGGTGTCTCCGCCGGGCACAACATACCCCACAGGGTGTTGTGCAACTGACGCGGCTTGGCCAATTTACCGTCGCGTCCGATGGGCGAGTTGACACGGCGCAAATGTGACAATGTGGAGGCAAATGTGAGACGATTCAACACCTGCGAGACACCGGCACGAGCCTGATGAGCCTTCTTCTGATCACCCCAGTTGCCGGTGGCCAGCGAATAACGCAGACCATCTGTAATAATGTTGGTCTTGATAGCCAGCTCCAGATTGAAGTCCTTTCCGCGATCAATGAATTTCTGTGTGTACATGCGCACCTCCTTCATTAAGTTCTTGAAGAGGCCGCGGAAGAGGAAGGCTAAAAGCGGCCCAGCCAGATCCAAACGTTTGTTGCCATAGTGATCACGATCGTCGAGTTCACGGCGGCCCAGCGAAGCCAGCAGCAGGCGATGCACCATGTAGCCTAGGAAATAGGCCTTCTTTGTCTCGCAAAAGTCTGAGACTCCCACATGCGGCAGCATTTCTTTTTGCAGAATTTCCTTAGCGTATTTTATGCGCTTGTCCTTGGTAACTCCTGGGCGTGCTCCACGAGCTCCGATGAAATTCAAAGCGACATTTTGCTCCTGCACGACGAAGGCTTCGTCCAGTGAGGGCTTCACCATTTCCATCATCTCTGGATCGTCAAAATCGTAAATTATGTGCTCCAATATATCGCGATCTGCCACAAAGCCCAATGCCCGAAACACAATCATAATGGGTATCTCCTGCTTAATATACGGCAGAATGGCAATGATGCGCTGTCCAATTGCCGACTTCTTGATGTTCTGCGAGCCACGCGCCATCATGTTCACCCAGAGTGTTGAGGTGGGTCGCGAACTATGCTCCAAGCAGGAGCGTATCTCCGTTTTAAAGGCATATTTGCCGTCCTTCATGCTGAAGACGTACACGGTGTTTGTGGCCATCTTCTCTTGCGCAATGAGCACTTTTTCCGAGCCGTTTATAATAAAATAGCCACCTGGATCCAGTGGGCACTCATTTAACTCGGTCAAATCACGATCCGTAAGTTGGGATAGCAGGCAATAAGTTGATCTCAACATGATGGGAATTTTGCCAATAAAGGTTTTCTGATGCTGCGTCTCGACGGGATCCATGCCCTCCACATTTTTTGTCTTTGTTATATCCACATAGAGCGGAGCTGAGTAGGTCAGATTGCGCAAGCGCGCCTCGTTGGGCATCATGGGACTGGGCGAGCCATCCTTCTCCCAATGCGTCGGCTTGGACAAGTAAATCTGTTCGAATTTAAGCGAAAACCGGGGCGGTGTCTCTACCTCGCCGGACGTATGCTGCGCCTCCGCCTGCAGCTCAATCGCCGGCGAGTCCTCCACAATGCGCTGCACAGACATTTGTATGAACTCGTCAAAGCTGTCCAGCTGCTGGCGCACCAGGCCCTTTTCGTCGAAATAGGCGTTGATCACAATCCAGCAGGCCTCCTGCCACAACTCGTGCGAGATTTCCTCTGCATTTTCCTCATCGAAATTCTCTGCAAAAACCAATTACATACTCACTATTTCATTCACACACAGGAACGCTAGCGCTCCGGCCGCCATGTTACTTTTTGGCAAGCGGCGTGGTTTGCAATTTTCGCTAAGTTTTCTTACCTTCTTCATTCTCGTACATCATTTTGCGCAAAAATAATTATTTGCACTTGGTGCGCGTAAGAAAATAGAAAAAACTTATTCACAATCTTTAAATTGTTTAATATTTTAACGAAATTGCTACGAAAAAAAAACTGCAAGCACCGCAAGTTGCGGCGATTTTGTCGGGATAGTGGGGAAACTATCGTGTCACTTATGTATCGATTCTTTTCAGTGCTTAACAACGACATATCACCTATCGATAATTCAAAATAATGTAGGGCATCTACACACTGTGAGATATTCTCTATACGCATTCATATATTCTATATAATTTTATTTTTCCAACTTGCAATAATAAATTAATATAGGCAATAAAAAAAACACCAATATATATGTCAACGGTCGTACACACAAAACTTAGAAAGTTTATGGGCATAAATGGCAACTTCTTAGCCAAAATGTATATATATATTTGATAATACAAACTAACCGTTGTTATTAATTTCATGGTCTACCAGCTGCAGAAAGAAGTGGTGCACTACAATTTGGTGTTTTAAGCATGGATGATTATTACGTTCATCTCGTTGCGCTCTGTAGGTTTTATTAATTTGCATATTTTCAGCTGTCCAACATAACTAATCGATTATATTCGATTATATTATTCGACTCATGCTCTACCTGCAATCATCGTTTCGATATGGCGGGCACATAACTAGCAGCTGAATCAGCTGTTTGTACCGTAGATGTTTTGCTTGTTTAGTTATTTAACGCCGAATTTCACATGAGGTTTTTCACAAAAAGTGGTCGATTCTTGATTGCCGGCATTCTGCCGGGAATTGATCGCAGCGCCGACGATGTTGTCGACAAGGATAGCAAAACCTACAAATCTTTCTTGGCCAACAAGCCAACCGAAGAAACAGGCTTGGAGCGTCTGAAGCAAATGCTAACCGTGGAGTAAGTGCTGGCTGCGAAGACATGGCGCTGCGATTATTAATTTTGCGATATTTTACTAGTGAATTCGGCAGCATATCCTCAGAGCTGAACTCAATATACCAGGTGGGCTTCCTCGGCTTCCTTGTGGGGGCCATCTACGGAGGCGTTACACAATCGCGGGTCAGCTACATAAACTTCATGGAGAACAATCAAGCGACAGCGTTCAAATCGCACTTTGATGCCAAGGTAAAAGTCGCTTAAGTCGGTCCATTAACAATATAACTAGACTTACACCAATACCCCTTGCAGAAGAAGCTGCAGGATCAGTTTACAGTGAATTTCGCCAAGGGCGGCTTTAAATGGGGCTGGCGTGTGGCTCTGTTTAGCACCTCCTACTTGTAAGTGAACCTTAATAACGGCAGTTACCTGAAGCCTAACGAGTTGTCTCTTCCGCCAGTGGCATCATAACGTGTATATCTGTTTACCGCGGAAAGTCCTCCATTTACGAGTACCTGGCAGCGGGCTCCCTAACAGGTGCTCTCTACAAAGTCAATCTGGGTCTGCGGGGCATGGCTGCTGGCGGCATCATTGGTGGGTTTATGGGTGGTGTCGCGGGCGTAGCTTCGCTGCTGTTGATGAAGGCATCGGGCACCTCCATGGAGGAGGTGCGCTACTGGCAGTACAAATGGCGCTTGCAGCGGGACGATACCATCCAGCAAGCCTTCAAGAAGCAGGCCCAAAAGGATGCGCCCGAACTGTTTACCGCACATGATAAGCGCGTGGGCGAATCGGTCACATTGGACGCCGTCAAGTGAATCAACTCGATGTAAATTTAGCTTGTTTTTATTTAAATAATAAATTGCAATAATGTCCTTTAGAAGTTATACAGACAATACAATTAAGGAAGCCCAAGTTGGCTGCTGCTATGCGTTGTTTCAGTTGATGCCTAGTGCAACTAAGGATACAGATATGACTCGGATACATTTAAATAACATGAAAATGGAGCACACAATTCAAATGCAATAAATTAAATGCTCTGCGAGAAGAACAGGAAACATAAATTGTGTATAGTTTGGCTCGATGGGCTTCAGACTTCGTCTTCGTTGGAGGGACGCGTCAGGCGCTTGGCCCCGCGATTAGGTGGTCCTTTTGGCTTTGCAAAGGCTGGTCGATGCAATATCTTTTTGGGATGCAGTTCCTCCTGCAGATACTCCTCGGTCAGTTCGTCGCCGCTGTCGATTTCCAGCTATATTGGCAAATAAAAATAAGTCAAAAGCTTTTCGCACTGAGGCCAATCTCTCACCTTCTTGGCTATTTCCACGCCGTATGCGGACAACTCTTCAAGAAATGGAGCCTTACAGCTCGAGTACATCATGCGTTCACGCACGGAGCAAGAGTATCCTGGCATAGAGTATATGAATACAAAGGACTCCATATAGTCGCCCTCGTGGGTGTGCTTAAACAAATACAGATGGTAGCGCGCATGATCTTCGGGCACCTGCTTGGGCAGATCGCGCAATTCCACATTTGCGGCATGGGAGACATGAATGCGTTCCTCCTCCAGACTAATGCGAAACTGCAAATAGTCATAGGTGCCGCGCAACATATCCCGCACCGCTGCGCGTGTTGCCTCCGTCAGTGGGCAGGAGATGCCGCTGAGCGTCTGGTGGCGCGTCTCCGTGGATATCTCAGTGCGCACCTCGGAACGCTGCAGCTCCTTCATCTCCTCCTCGCGCATGGTTAGTGGCGCGGGCGCAGAAAATTCACGCTTATGCTTTTTGTAGCCCTCCAGCGTGGTTTCCTCCAGAGTCGTTGCGTGCAGCTCCTCCGAAATGTACGCCGAACCGAATTCGTTCTTTAGCGTTGCCTTTGTCGAGGCGTAGACCATTTTCTGGCGAATGCTGGCCGTATCTGGAGTCCAGCTAATGAGCAGCCAGCCATACCCCAACGGTATCTTTGCATCCAGACGGTATAGAATATAGCAGGGCACACTCTCCTCAAAGAGCGGCGCCAGCAGCTTGTCATAGTCACGTTCCCAATCTTTTTTCACATCAGCTGTGGCGCTGCAGCTGAGCTGTTCTGTGCGGGCGAATTAGTGACCGGAAGTTAGTTAGTTACCGGATGTATATAGATATGATTATGTGTGTGCTGGATATTCCACTCACCGTTTTCAATTGACACTTTTATCACACGTATTTTACCATTTTTGGCCTTGCCAAAAACTTTCGCTAGTTGCTCGTTGGCTGTCAATGGTTAAAATTGTGCTTAATAAATTGTATATATTTGGTTTCAGTCTAGCGCTTACCTTTGATTCCCGTTTGATGCGACATGTTAAACTAAAAGTTAGTGCTCTTTAAGATCTTAATCCTAAACGGCGAAAAAAAATGTATTACTCACAATAAATATAGCGGTGTTGCCAGCTCTTTCTATTTTAATGGTATACCCTGGCATCACTTGGTCTTTGTTTACATTTTGCAGCGAAACATTTTACCATCTGGCAGCGCCAAATAACTGCAGTGTGACCAGATGCTGCAACAATTATTCGAGTGTTTGACAGCACTGTGGCTTAACTCTGTGTTCTTTTCACGTCCGTAAAATGTAAAACGGAAACTTTATTATTTTGCATTTAAAGCGACACTGTCCAACCAAAAACATATTTCAAGTGCAATTGTGTAGTAAAGCAAGTGAGTGCACATTAAAGCTGAACGCCAGCTGGCGTGCAAAGCGCAAAACGCTGCACGGTCTAATTACTAATCAGCACAGCTCTGCGTCCATGTCTCTGTCGCTATCTCTGTCTCTGCCGACGTCAGCGTCAGCGCCGTCACCGCCCTACTGCGAATGTTTACTTCCGCTTGTTTACAATGTGAAAATTGAAAAAAAAAAAAAAAATTGCTTGTGCCCATTGCAGTACCCATACCCATGTTAACCGAAGCCCCCATGGCCAGTGACAACATAATGGACGAATTAGCATCTTTGATACGCACCGAAATTCCCGATGGTCGCCAGAGCCTGCGCGACAGCTACACGAATCTGGAGCGTGTGGCCGACTATTGCGAGGACACCTACTATCGCGCCGACAATAAAAAGGCCGCCCTCGAGGCTACCAAAAACTACACCACCCAATCCCTGGCCAGTGTCGCGTATCAGATCAACACGCTGGCCTATAGCTACATGCAGCTGCTGGACTTGCAGGCGCAGCAGCTCAGCGAAATGGAGTCGCAGATGAATCACATTGCTCAGACGGTGCATATACATAAGGAGAAGGTGGCCAGGCGGTAAATCCTTTACAATCCACAAACCTTCGGCAGTTGTTTAAATATGTTTGTTTTTTACCTTGAAGCGAGATTGGCGTTCTAACGGCCAACAAGGTGAGCTCGCGCCAATTCAAGATAGTGGCGCCCATTAATCCTGAGAAGCCGATCAAGTATGTGCGCAAACCCATTGACTATTCAATTCTGGATGAGATTGGGCACGGCATCAATTCGTCAGCCCAGCACGTTGTGAGACAGAAGCACAGAGGCTCGAGTCATGGCTCTGTGCAATCTCTGGTGCCGTCATCGGTGGGCCCGCCGCCCACCACCAAGCCGCCGACGCCGCCGCAAATGTCGCGTGCCGGCAACACGGGCACTCTGGGCAAATCGGTCAGTAATACTGGCACGCTGGGCAAGAGTTCGCGGGAGTATCGCACGCCGCCTGTGGTCAATCCACCGCAGGTACCTTCGCATTATGCGCCCAACTATCCAATCGGACATCCCAAGCGCATGTCCACGGCCTCGTCCACAACCACTACCACTGGCGGCGGTGCAGCGGGCAACGAGCGTGCTGCTGGCTACAGCGCGCTGCCCATGCCACCCAGTCAGCAAATTGCCACGCATGTGAATCTGCCCTCGGCGGGCATGATGCAGTCGCTACCACCGCCGCCGCCCACCACTTATGACGACCGGAGCAGCATGCCACGTAAGTTGAGCGACTTTAATCAATGTTAAATAAAAATAAATTACAATCCCATGTGCACCCTTAGCAGCGCCCCCGTCGCCGCTAACCGTCTCGCAGCACGAGATGACCGAGCAGAGCCACATTGGCATGCATACCCTGGGCCGCAATATCAACAGGTAAGCAACTGCACAGATTATGACCCCATTATTTGCTTGTATATAACTCTCGTATTGTACTTTTAAATACCATCTGCTTGCTTGCACAGGAATCCCAATAGGTAAATTGCATGCTTCTACTGAAAATATAAATGGAATTTGTATTAATAATTTTGTATGCATAGAAATCATTTCAGCTTGAATTTTGCGCGTCCTGGCTCCCAATCGCCACCGTTGCCGCCACCACCGCCGCCGGAGGATGAGCATCAGGACTTTGGACGTCCACGCACCTCAACAGGTCCACAATTAGCGCCCATTGTGCCGGAGGATCAGAATTTGCCTGGCTGGGTGCCCAAAAACTACATTGAGAAGGGTATAAATAGCAGGGCACATGAAAGCCAAGCATTCTTGTATTTAAAAATTGTTCTATATATTGTTGCAGTGGTGGCTATTTATGATTATTATGCCGACAAGGATGATGAACTCAGCTTCCAGGAGAGCTCGGTGCTGTATGTTCTGAAGAAGAACGATGATGGCTGGTGGGAGGGAGTTATGGACGGTGTTACCGGTCTGTTTCCTGGCAATTATGTGGAGCCATGTGTCTAAGCACTGCCAATGGAATTAACAATAATAATAATATGCATTATGACAAAGACGATAACGATTTCCGGATATTGATAATGATAATTATGTAACTACAGCCACAGCGCAGCTCTCACAAGTATTCCACTAGCATAAACTGAATGGCAACTAGCTGCATATAGTTGTCATCGCACACTCACACACACAAACACTCCAGCAACAATTGTCAAAGCATTTATATGAGAGCGCTCGCTATTTTCAACGTAAACGTAAACTATAAACTAATTAAATATCCTAATAGTCGAAAATAGCCCAAAGTAATGAAAAATTTGAAGAAAACTGAGTACACATATAAATATGACCTATTTAGTATACTGACATAGACGAATTCGGCCCCCAAGTTATAAAGTGGTTCAATATTTGCCAGCGCTTACAACAATTTTTGTGTGAAGCTTATTTTTTGTATTTTGTTTGTTTGTTTCCATTGCGCTTGCAACACGCCCATACCACCCACAACTCCCGCAGTGACGTAGGTTATACGAATTTCAGTTAGCATTTAGCTTTTAGATATTGGCCAGTTGGTTATACAGTTTTTTTATACACACATACATATACATATTTACAATACAATAATATGCATTATATAAATATTATTTGCGACAATGCATACTGAAGATTTAGTTAAAATGAAATTACAAACATGAAATCAAATTAAATTTATAAAATATACAAGCACATGCATTATATGGTATAATAGCTAATAAAAATTTCAATTTTCAAAGCCCTTGTAGTTTGACCATGGCGCCAAGGCTTGACCTTTTCGTGCCGGATGCTCGTATGCCAGGCTAAATCTTTTATTAAAATCCGGACTCCGATGAAAGTGTTCAGAAAAAAAAATGCAAATGCGAGCCCTTGGCATGCACCCAGCCTAATAACTCTGACCGACGCGCACTTCGATCGTGGCGCGGTTGTTATGAATGGCCCCAATTGAAGGTATACAAATGCCAACACTCATCGAACTCGCGCCCAATTCAATCAATCAATCAAATTTCGATTGCGAGTGCATAAACAATTTACATTTCAATGTCGCGTCCGGAAAAGAAAATCGGACTGCCCCACTCCGCCAGCTCCAGTCAAAAAGACACGGAAATTAACGCTTTCATGCTGATATGTGGCACTTTTCACTTGCAACATTTATTATCAAGCCCAGGTCGGACGACTCGCTGTGGCATGGCATGAGCTCGATGTAGCGGAAATGTTTTAACTTTCCTTTTGTGCTAGTCCTTGTGCGCTGGGCTTTAAAATGGGAATGGACATAAGACTTGAACATGAAGTGATTTGCATAAGAAAGGTTCAAGTGTGGTTGGTAAAGAAAATGACTCTTTGTTCGATCCATCCATGCAGACCTAATTCCATACAATATAAAAGACTACTAAAATTCTATGCAAATAAAAATTGGAGAATATTTTCTGTAAATAAAAATTAAACAATTATAAGTTTGTTGTCTTGTCAAAATTTAATTGTCAAATGGAAAAGTTAAATACAATTTTTATTTTATTCACTGGCAAAAACCTACTCTGAGAGAAACAGAAATTCTTAGATTTTCAAATTGCTTTATTTTCCCCAAAAGACTCAGCTAGCCGATAACTTACCAGCTAATATATCCATTAGTAATTTAGCTGCTTAAGTGCACTCAAGAACCTTAATTTGTATTTACCCTTTATTGATATTCTAGCGGTATTGTTTGCGTTGTGCGGTAACCGTCACTTGCCGTAATACCTAGGCGCCCTTAACAATTACAAGTAGACTCACATCCAAGATTTGCCGCCCCCAGCAGTCGCATGCCCAGTCCAGGCCCCAAACTGGCCAACGTCAAAGAAATGTATGCAAAATGGCGCATTAGCATTTCAACAATTCGGAAAACAAGTGGAATGGAAATACCAACAACAACTGAGAAATTGATTGAGCTATGTGGCCAACGGTGTGACGCCGCCCCAAAAACCCAGCCAGGGCATATATGCTATGCTCGCTATAATTTGACCAGAATGGGCCAGGACAGAGTCCAATAGGGCCGGCCGACAGTTCAGTTCAGTTTTGTCAGTCCATGCGAACGGTTCGCTGGCAACGCGAGCGACAAGTCGGATTTCCATCGAGCACTTCACAGCGGAAGTGTCCCAATATATTTTGCATACGATTCGAATAGTTTGTGAGTGCGGCATTTTGCAGAGGTACTGAGAAACTTTGCCAACGATTGCCCAAAAGTTCAGTTCTTTTATGCTACATTTAATCGATGATAAGTTTGAAGTTGGAGTTGTGTTATGAGTGGCTGTGGGGTCCGGTCCTTTAGCTGTTGGCGCATATAATTGACCTACTTGGTGGCGCTTGCCTGGGCCGCTTATCGCGGCCATCGCTACCCGCACGGGATTTACTTTTAGCTAAAGTGTAAAATATTACTTTATTTCATGTTTAGATTGAGGCCAGCGCAGCCATTTTGTTTTGATATGTGCGAAATATGCGAAAACTTTTGTAGGTACTGTAAACAATGCGGAGAAGTTGGCCCACTTTGAGTTGGGCCAAGTTCCTGAGATTGCGGCACGCACGCCTCTTCTGTACGCCTTTGCTCAAACTACGGAGTTTTTAATTGCGGCTACAGCTAATTGCTTAACCTGAAGGTTAAAAGTTTTCCCTTCAAATGTTAGAAAAATAAAAAAAACCCGACGTGTGAAACAAAATCCGTATAGAAATCATAGCGAATGTTGGGCAAGAACATTTTGTGTTACGATTAGCCTGGCACATTTATTTGATGGTTGCTATAAATAGCCAGCAGACGCAACTGCGACTAACCCCGGTTAATTAACTATTCGCCGCAAATGCTGGCCATCAATCATCAACACTAGAGCCTTGGACTTCACAAGGATATAATTATTGTGAGTGATTTGGCTGCTTTTTATAGAGCTGAACGCTAGGTGCCCAAAGGTTGAAGTAGTCGCAGAGCTCCTATATTTAAAGACCAGCAGTTGAGCCTTAACAAGACCTCAAACTGCTCGAAACAATAATGCAAATGCAAACGCATACGATTGAGAAAAATAGGATATATAGTTATTTATAATGAAAACACATATTTAAAAGAAGCAAAAGCTTTTGTATATATGAAAATCGCATAGAAAGGCGATATTTGAAAATATGCGAGAGTGACTGACAAAAGCTAGGAAGTGAAGTGGAGAAGCGAGGGAGAGAGAGAGAGCGGAGAGATAGAGAGTGAGAGAGAGAAAGGAAAAGAGAGAGCGAGAGAGAGAGAGAGATAAAAGTTATACACTTCTGAAATCGTGAGGGCCATTAGGTTGCAATTTTCTGACTAAGCTAATTGACAACAGATTTTGACTTTCCAATCAGTATTAAAATCTGCCCGCACTATCATCAACTTAACGTCTCAAGTTATGTTTGACATATATAATATATTTGAAATAAGTTTGCAGTTGATCGAATTTCGATCGGTCATGTTAGGCCCGCGGTGCCAAGCTAAGATCTGAAAAATAAGCGAGCTCGTTCAAACAACCTTCGACCCTTATTTTCCATTTTTCAAGAGATGTGGATTTTGCAAAAAATCTGAAAACATTTCAAATGAATTGTCAACTTTCAACAAAGATGTGTGAATAATAAATAAATATTGTTTCATTCAAGCGTTTTTCCACGATTTTTTCACACTTCTGGGTGGAATTACCCAAAACAAAGCAGTAAAACAATAGAGATTTACATATTTGTATTTTGTCATTGTTGATTCCTAACAAGAATGCCCAAACAAATGCGTCGAGTCAGTGATTTTTGCTGACAAACATCAATGAAATATGTTTACCGCTCAGCCATTTGTCAACATGTGTTCTGCCACAGCACATGTCAAATGAGAAATGTGGCTTGACAGAAGAACTCATTTGGAGCATGTGCCCCCACCTGCATGCACATGTATATATGCATGTATATGCAGCCTGGCCACTAATGAGCCGCAGTCTGAATAAAGAGCCAATGGAGACATACTCTAACCACATAATGGACGCCTGCACCATGGCTTTAAGCGGGCGCGTTGTGGCTATCGCAAGTCGTAATCTGGGCTAAGTTTTGTCGGGAGCTCTGCTGACCGAAATCAAATCAAAATGCGGCGTTTCAAAATATTAAAGCTATAACAACGAGCGTGCGACAATGTCCATAAACAAAACCAAAGACATGGGTCCCACTGGCACACACTCAAACACACACACACAAACACACACACACACACCCGTGTATGGCTATTCAGGTGGACACCAACGAAATTCAGTCCATTTGCTAGCCAGATGTCGTGTCTGGGGGCAATTTACACAAATTCAATAAACCACAACCGCAAAAAAGAAAATATAGGTAAAGGTGCTCTAGCCTCTAGTCGAGAATGCCGGACTAGAAGATGTCCTGTACCCCCAAGTCAAGCTTTTCTTTATGCACACATGCATATCACAAACACAACTACAATGTGCCTAAAATTCATTGAATCACTGCGATGTTTACGCTTCATTAAGTATTCAGATTCTAAATATTAACTACAAATGCTCAAGGGTATGTGTGTATACCATATCTTAACCTTGCAAACATATTTGCATTAAAATTGATATGTATCGATTACGTAGAAACAGGCGAGATATTGATTTAAGGTAAACTTATTCTACGTTCTTAATTTAAGTGTCTAGCTAGTGTAGTCTCCCGGCAGACAGGCAGAATGACACACAAACATTATTAGGCTCATATATGTATAGATCGATCTGTATATCATAGATCTCGTATAGAGATCTCTATATGATATCTATATGATCTCTCTGTATGAAACTTTTTTCTTTGTCATTTAATCAATTTTTTGTTTAAAACCTCAATCCATTCCTATTTGGTAAGTGAGCGGCTTTTAGTCTGTGAGCTAATTTGCAAATATTATAAAAAATATCACTTAAGACGAGATTCACACTTTTTGGTTAATGCACATCTTCCCGATGAAGAATGGGCGCTTAAAGAATTTGTTAGGGATGCTTTAAGTTACGTCCGATCGCTTTTGAGCTTATTTTCATAATAACAGGCTATAAATTGGAAACTTTTTTGTTTATCATTGGCTTTAAACTAAGTTTAAAAGACTTTTACAATAGGGTTTGTTCTGAAAATCCACCGCTCTGGGTCAAGCGTTTTAAGGAACGAAAGTTTATTTTTGGGCTTCAAGATTCTCTTCAAGATGCCAACTATTGGTTCATTATTTTATGGACTTTAAACCTATTTACGAATATCTATTTGTGAGTTTGATAAAGGACGGGTATATTTAAATTGTCTACGGTCGGAAAATTATCATATATGGTCAGAATTCCCTAATACTTTATTGGATTCGAGCCTTCTGCTTGTTAAATACACTTGCGCTAAACCCGAATATACTTCCTAGGGCATTCATAGTTAGTACAGGGTATTAGAAAAAAACTCAAACAGCATATACAATTTGATAGAGAAAAAACTACAACTAGCCGGCAAAAAAATAAAAAAACAAAAAAAAAATAAATAAGTATCGCCGCATTTTAGGGAGTTTGGGGGGCAGGATGTGAATCGATTTGAATATCAAATTAGTTAAGGCCGCCTACACAGACTGAGGCATTCTTTTGCCTGGTTTTCCAATGGGGCGATAGGGCGTGTCCGAGAACTATTCGATTTGTTCTATTGACATTGAAGCCTTGTAATTTGTATAGTGTTTGTTTATTTGTAATTTGAGGCCCTTATGATATATTTATGATTTGTGGGCTGAAGCCAATTTAATAATTCATCTGTTTTGGCACCCAAAAGTTGACTTTACTGGCCCACGCTTTATAATTAATTCGCTTTTAAGAAACTTAACCGATTTGGGATAGTGCCCGAAGGCCAAACAAAAGGCGTCCGTACGGCCACACACAAATTGAAGGCAGGTGTCAAACCCCACCTTTGGGTGAATCCACCTTGTGTTTGCCTGCCGATTGTTGCTGTAGCCTGATCTGATTGACTTGGTCAGCTTGTCGAACTCATAATTAGGAAATTACTGCGGAATATTAACTATTTGGGCGTATAAATAAATATTTAATAAGCTGGTCTGCCCTGTTTTTTTATGGCCAGTTTTAAAGTAAATAATTTTGCCAGTTGACTTAATAAATGGTTCAATTTCAAATTGTTTCTAGCTCCTGTTAACGGCTTTATATCAGTTAGTTGACGTTTTAGGGGCGCTTTTAAGCTAGTTAAACGAGAATTAAATTTATTTGCGGACTGCGCAATAAGGAGGAATACAATACATCTGTTTTCCCTGATCGCAACTGTTTAGGAGTTGGTAAAGCAGGCAAATGTTGTTCTGGGATACGAACAAATGTCATGAATTTTATGAAAATAATATCATTAATTAAAATGTATCTGATGCGAGCTCATGTACTCTGATATATATGTATTGGTGAGCTACAATCGTGGCTCTCCACAATCAAGAATTTCAGCTCGATTCTTCCCTTTAAGTCTGCAGTTTAACTAGTTCCTTTCAAGCTTGGCCATTGACTTAACGACAGTTGATCAGCATGGTCATGCCGCAGGTTTATGGCTTTTTGAACTGCCATCGAACTTGGCCAGAGTTTGACTTACTTGACTTGCATGCGGAGGCACGCAGTGGCATGGAAGGTGTTCAAGTTCACGGCTTGACTTATGGCGCACGCCATCCGTAAACAAAGCCCGCAGGACTTTCACCCGCGAAACTTGAACAACAACATCGATTAGGCCAAGTCATGCTCATGGCAGCAAGACCTTGGCGCCAAAGTTTACAGTCCATTAAGACTAGTTGTTCATTAAAATAAAGGCGTAGGTGGTGGCACGGTATGGTTGGAGCACACCCAGTTAATGACAGTTTTACGATTGTTGACAACAAATTGACACCATTTGTAATCATTTGTTGTTGTCGCTTTGGGCAGGTTATCAGCACGTCAAGGGCACGTGGCATATTGAACCGAAGGACACTCAACTGATCAAAGATGGCGGCTAGCGCTGGTGCCAGCAGCTGGTCGGGCAGCAGCGGCGGCAGTACATCCTCTCAAGGACGTCAACTGGCTACCGCTCAGCCCGCCCAGGAGGAGCGTCTAGTGGTGAGTGGACTCCAGCTGACCACTTTAAGGACCACTGACCACTTTCTTTTTAGGTTGCGGTACGGGTACGTCCGAGCCTGGAGGCCACCGAGCGCTGCATTGAGGTCATCTCTGGCGGCTCCCTGCTGTATGATGATGGTGGCAAAAGCCGACCACGTAAATATTCCTACGACCATGTCTTCAAGGAGAACGACACACAGGAGCAGGTGTACAAAACCACCACAGCGCCACTAGTCAGAGATGTTCTGAATGGATACAATGCGGCGGTCTTTGCATATGGCGCTACTGGTTCCGGCAAGACGCACACAATGCTCGGGCCTGTGCCGCGCAAGAAACCCTCGACAGCTGACCGCGGGCCGACAGCGACCGGTGGCTACGAGGCAGATGTTAGCAGTCAGGACATTGGCTTGATGGTGCGCGCCATCGAGGATATTTTTGGACACATTGAGGCAGCCGGGCCAGAGAGCTCTACCAAGGTATCGATTTCGTATCTCGAAATTTACAACGAACTTATACGGGATTTGCTGAATCCTGGTGGTCCGCTGGAACTGCGTGAGGATCATCGTGGCCAGCGCATTACCGTAGCCGGGCTCTCCGAAATAACCACATCCAGCCGCAAGGAGGTCGTTAGCTTGCTTATCAAGGGCAACAAGGCGCGCACAATGGAGCCCACAGCTGCCAACCAGACCTCATCGCGCAGCCATGCACTTCTAAGTATTACTGTGCAGACACGCACGCCCCTGGGCACCAAGCAGGGCAGGCTCTTTCTAACTGATCTGGCGGGATCGGAGCGCGCCAAGAAGACAAAGAATCGTGGCAAGCGCTTGCAGGAAGGCGCCCACATCAATCGCAGTCTGCTGGCTTTGGGAAACTGCATCAATGCCCTGTCGGGCGGTGCTCGCTACGTCAACTATCGCGACTCGAAGCTCACCCGGCTGCTGAAAGAGGCGCTCAGTGGCCGCTGCAAGACGGTCATGATAGCCCACGTCGCTCCCGAGAGCAAGCATCGGGACGAGACCAAGAACACCCTGGTATATGCGGACCGTGCAAATAGCATCACCACCAAGCTGCAGAGTTCCGTATACATCGATGAGTTCAAAAACTTTCCCACCAAGCACTACCAGAGCCTGGTCTCAGAGCTGCGGGACGAGGTCACCCGCCTGCGCACTAAGATGCTAACGGAACGTCCACGCAGCGGAGCTGCCGCCGCAGCAGCAACAACATCAGCACATCAGCCACCCAGCGAGGAGCTGAACGAGCAGCGCAAAACGGAGCTTCGATATCTGCGGGAACAGATTGTGCTGACCTTCAAGCAGCAGATGAAACTGCGACGCAAACTGCTCGAGGCGGAGAGCCATTTGCTGGGCCTGGAACTGGATGCCGAGCGACAGCATATGATCATTTCCCATTGGCAGGGACGCATTGGCAAGCTGTATGATGCACCAGGAGAAGATGGTGGGTCTTATGCATAGAGACAGACATATAGTATATCTATCTGGTATTTAAATATTTTTTTATTGCTTCTTAAGCTCTCCAGAAAAATGTTTCTGTAACTTGGTCATTCTTCAAGTATTAATTGCTAAAATTTTTTTATTTCGCTTAGACGTGGAATCGGAGGGCTCAGTGGCTTTAAAGAATGCCTGGGGTGAGTTGGCGGCTATAGAGAAGGAGACGCGGCGTTATAAGGAAATTCGTGAGCATACAGAGCACGAGCTGGAGCTATGTCGCCAGAAGGGTGTCAAGTTAGAAGATGTAAGTATCCAGTCTTCATCTTTGAACGATATTTTTAATTATAAATGAATTGCTGGTACGCCCAGGAGCTTCCGGAACGCATTAGCAGCGATGAGGAGCGCGAACTGCTCGCTCTGCTCTGCCGCGTCCACGAACTGGAGGCGGACAAGGTGTCGCTGCAAGCGGAGCGGCTGGCTCGTCAGGCGGAGCTGCGACGTCGCGACCTGCAACTGTTGCGTGCCGAGCGGCAACGGCGCCTGTGCGAGGACATCATTAGCTCCCAGCGTCGACTTATTGAGGAAGGCAACGTTGAGCTGCCGGATGAGCTGCGCGAACTCTACGGCCTGTATCAGCAGGAGATACACGCCGGAGTTGTTACGCCCAGCACAAGCGGCTACGAGAGGAAGCTGCCGCCCATATACACAGCTGGGTAGGTTAGGTGACTATAAATCCATGCGCAATATCTACCAATCAAATACGTCGCACTTTTTTGTAGCTCCGATTCACCCAGTTCCAGTTCCAGCTCTGAGTGGTCCCCCGCCTCACCATTGCCGGTTATAGAGGGCCATCCCGAGCTCATTGTCGTACCAGAAGGTCCCGATCGCCTAATGGGTCCGCCAGTGAATCCGCGTCTGCCACGTCTGTCCACTGCAGTGCCAGCGACCGGCACACGACGCCCCTCGCTGCGTCTGGGCAAGCAGACGCATCCTTAGAGGCGGCAGCGCCAACTCTGTTCGAGTTGCTCAGGAATAGTTGTAAAGGTTTAGGTTAGGATTAAGCGGGCGCTTCTAATTAAAGTAACGATCAATATGCTAAAGCATTAATTAACATAAATTATGTTTGTCGAAATTTTAAGTGCATAACTTCAATAAATGCCTAGCCTAATGGAACTGCATGCGCGCTTGATGAACCTTTTCTGGGCCCAATTTCATTTATGCTAAATATTTTACTTATTCAAAAATTTAATTAATTGATTTTTTGTGATTGTTTTTTTAAATTTTTTTTTTTTACTGTGCTATAAATTATTGCGGCTTAAATTTTTAGTTTCATTTTGTATTTTACAGATTTATCAAGTTTTCTGTTTTAAAGGGCTGCCACGCTGATTGAAATTGTTTGATTTTATCGTTATATTTACAAACTTGTTTCTTAAACAATCTGGCAACGCTGGACACCAGTTTGAGCATTGCAACTTGTAAGCTTTTTTGTTAGCGCAACTCAGATTTATGTTAATTTTTAAATATTCAAATATAATTGTTTGGTTACACATTAATACGCTTATGCATTGAATATTTTAAATATGATATTTTTGTTGTTGATTTTAAATTTCTTAAATTATTGTAAATATAAATTTGTAAATTTAAAATAATTTAAGAAATTTTAATTTAAAAAAAAAAACATTGGAAACAAGGAAATTTTTGGAAATTTCAGCATAGGAAACGGCGTTAAAATTCAAATTCTAAATGTCGCAGCTATAAAAATAAAATCTAATATTTTAAAGCATTTTATTAATTTGCTGGATGTTCAATGTTAATCAAATTTGAGCTCGCCATGTCGATTTTAGTTGAAATTCACATAAGAAGTTTTTGTAATTGAATGTGCCAACACTTCCTACGCAACGTCTCTAAGGTCACTGCCGGCACAGAATTTGAGTTTTTCATTTTTGGATGTAGGTCAGAAGCAACAAACATAAACAAAACCTAACAGGCCAAAGGGAGAGAGACATAGAGATAGATAGAGAGAGACAGACACAGAGAGAGAGAGAGAGAGAGAGAGAGAGAGGTAGAGAACGAACGAGAGTGCGAACGAGATAGAGATGCGTAAGAGAGGGCGAGAGTGTGGCGCGAACAGAGAGCGTGAACGTGAGCGTGAGAGCGCGTCGTAAGAGCATGCGTTGCGACCGAAAATTATCTATCTGCTCGCACAAAAAAGTATCTGACAGTTTGATTTTCATTATTAGATACACAGCTGTGTGCCCTGTGCGTGGTTGATTTCCCTTCAGCTCTGCCGTTCGTATTAGGGTCTTGTAGTTCAGGCAGCTAGCAGGTTGCTGTCGAATAAGAAAATAAAAACCACAAGTTAAAACAAAAAAAAAAAAAAAACGCAAATCTAGTCAATCAAATATTAAATATAAATAAACAGTAAATTGCACTTAGAAACGCAACAAATTCAAATCAAGTTGGGTAAAACGAGTTGAGCATAAAAACGCACAAATAAATGCGTAGTTCGTAGCTGCAGTAATATTTATTTTTTGATTGTTCAATGCCAAAAGTTTAATTCTTAAATATCTGCAAGTGGAATTAACGTGAACACAAGTGGAATTGTGTGGATAAACGTAGCAATAATCGTGGCTTTTGATAGGCCCCAAACCGAGTGCCAGGTAAGTGAAAATTCTGCAGGCGCAGCCTGCTCACATCAATTCAATGGGAATCAATCTCAATTGTGTGTGTGTGTGTGTGTGTGTGTGTGTGTGGGTGTTGTGGGTATCCAGTGCATTGGTTGGATGCATGCATGCATGTATGAGTGGTAAAAACAAGGCTCGACGCAAATGTTGCAGTTGCCATGCAACGAGCCAGTTAAGGGCTGCTGCCCGGGCAACCAGCTCACCTGCTTTTTCAGCCCAAGCTTAACAGTTTTGCTCAGAAACCACAGAATCCAGTGAACTCTGTCTCAACCCCATAATTTGTCGAATGTTACTCCCTTATGATTTATTTTTCTGCATGGTAAATAGCTTGACCATAGGCCCGGTAAGTGAAAACCCGTGGGCGAAGTCAACTCTCTGTGTGGGTGGCATGTGCATGGCCCAGGTGCATTGGATGCACACATTTATGTATGTATGTAAGAATGGTGAAAAAACAAACCAGGCTCGGCGTGATGTGTTGCAGTTGCAAAGCAACAAGCCAATTCGAGCTGCTGCCCGGGCAACTGGGATGCCTGAGCCAACTGTGCTTCGTGCCCAAGCTTAAAACTTTTGTGTGTCCCCAAAAAAAAGACCATACCAATATATACATGTTGATAGTAATTTTTGATTCCCAATTCTCGGAATTTAATTCTCGTCGACTATTTTTCGTGTGAAAACCGTTTAGTGGAAAAATTTGCATTGTGCTTGTTTTCCACTGTACAATAGGAAAACCTGTTTTGTGTGTGAAAATTAATCGAATACCGTTAGCTGTTCCGAACAAACCACAAACCCCGAACTATTTACGAGGCATTTATAAGCTCACCCAAAGATTGTTACTATTAACTGTCAACCCATATAAACTAGTTCGCCAATCCACAGAGTCTAAGAGACTCTGTTTCAAATCCTTAGCTCGCCTTTGTTTCAGCATGTAGTAATTAATTTTTAATTTAATTTCGTAACAATAGAATGACAACCGTAAACACTTTAACAATTTTGATTGCTCACCAGTCGAATTGAGCCGAATACCTGAGCAAGAGCCAAGCGTTTAGATAGGCAGTAAAAATGTTGTAGGCAAAGCCAACTCTCAGTGTTGGTCTAAGCGCATTTGATGCATGAAGGTATATATTCATGTTATAATGGCAATGCGATGGGCCAGTTGAGGGCTGCCGCCCGGGCAAGCAGCTCAACAGATAGAGAATTTTTTGGATATGTTTATTTATCTGAATTTAATTGAAAGTCGTTGAAGTAATTATCGCATTAAAGTTGTTAATAAATGGTAAAGTTTTTAGCTAATGTAGAAAAAAACCTGTGTGCATTGCCAGCTTATCAAAAAATACTTTTAGCTGAACTATTTTCTTTGATTTGCAAACTTATTTTAAGTTAGTCACATTTGCTTGCATTCATTAAGTACTTGATTATACTTCTTTTCGCTGTGCCTTACAGATAAGACCGTTATTTGTGACCGAACATTTTGAAAGGCCTTCACTAAACTGATTGATCAATGCCAAAAATTTAATTGTCTGGATGGGAAATAACTTGACAACAGGTGGCATAGGAAGGATAACAAGAGGAGGAATCCTGTGTTTTGAAAGGCCCACCGAGTCCGAGGTAGGTACAAATTTTGTGGGGCGCATCGCATGCATGTATGTTTGTGTGTATGTTTGAAAGGTGAAAAAAAAGCTCAGCCTGACGTGTTGCGGTTGCAATTGCAGCCCGGGCAACTAGCTCGCCTTCTTTGCGGCAACTGAGCTTCTTGCCCTCTTATACGTCAGAGAGTATAAAAATAAAGAAACACTTACAATTTGTTGTTTGCTTTGCAAACTTATTAAAAAAACAAAATAGACAAAAATATCGGGGTATTCACAGAGATAAATTGGCCCACTTACAAACTAGTGTGAAGGACTTATTAAATAAAGAACAGAGTGTCTTAAGGCCATTAATTGTATTTCATGTCTCGCCTTTGTGTGCACTCATTTTGGAGTTTTTGTGCCTTACATATGTATCTACCAATAGCATATATTCAGAGCTTTTTATATATATTTACTTTTTGACTTATTAATATGATATTTTTGGTAACACTTGTAATTGCAAGTTGATCTCGATATCCAATAAATAAAATATCAGCTGCTATTCGAAATATATTCAGATAAACTATACAAATTGTTAAATTAAGTTGCCTTACAATTCTTGCAGGAGGCCAAAGTGGAGACAGAGATGGAGTTCATACTTGTACGCAACTCGCCAACGTCATTCATCGAAGAAGAGGAGATCGAGCCAATGCACATAGAACAGCTGCCCAATGATATGTGGATAGAGATAATGTCATATTTGTCATATTTGGATTTGCAGCAGCTGCGTCTAGTATCGTGGCGCTGTCGCAACTTGGTCAATCGGCGTTACTTTTCGTCAAAAGGCAAGGTGATTGTGACCAAGGATAATCTAAAGGATATAAAGGCGCATGTGGAACGCGGTGTTTCGTATTTGAGTTTTGAGGACGTTGAGTTGCGAAATTTAACACAAAGCGCCGAATTGGAGCAGTTCTTGCGGCTGGTTGGTCCGGAAATCAAACAAATACAGGTGCGTCACTCGCCCGTCTTTCGCAACATGGATGGTAAGCTGCCAAATCTGAAAGTGCTTAAAATAGCCACGACCAGCTTCTTGGATGACGTCAACATGACCATCGACGGCATCAATATGAAACAGTTCTTGCACCTAAAGGGCTTCGAATGCGACGGCGTCAGCCTAGACTCAACACTTAAGCTTCTAATGCTATTGCAGCTGCGACGCGTCGAGAACAAGGTGCGACTACGTCATTTGCAGTTCGAGTATCGCCGAAACAATGAGACGGCACTGCTCCAGGTGCTCAACGATCATGGGCCCACTCTTGAGTATGTCGACCTCTTCTTTAGCTGTTCGCCCGGCATCGAAACGGCACGCTGGCGTGTGGCCTTCGAGCGAATGAAGAGGCTGCGCGTTCTAAAGCTCTCCGGCAATTGCCATCTCGTGCTGCTAGACGATATATTGAAATCGATTCCCCAAACGGCCCGGCTCCAACAGCTGGATCTGACCGGCATGCTATCGCTGACTAATGAAATGCTGATCCGCGTGGCTGACAAATGGTATAAATCACTTCGTTCCATCGATCTCATGTTCTGTGTGCAGCTGGACGTGCGTTGCGTTCAGGCGCTTCGCAAGATGAACGGCTGTCTGGAGTCGCTGACTATGGCCTATTGCCGTGCGTTGACTGGAAGGGGACTAGTCGAGGGCCTGGCTACTCAGGTCAACTATACGCTGCAGGAGCTCTTTTTGGAGGATGTGTGCTTCATCGATGAGGCGTCCATGTGCATACTACTTAAACGGCTTCCCAACTTACGCAAGCTCAGCCTGGACAATTGCCGCCAGGCGACCACCGATCGTACCCTCGCCACAATCTTCCGCCACCAGCCGCTGCTGCGCATGCTCAGGATTGATTACTGCATTAAGATAACGGATAATGG